TTTATGTTTTTCTTCACTGTTGACAGGATCAAACTGGTCAAAAATAGAGACACTGGGACATTTCTTGTATAAAACTGTGGGACAAATCCGTGGTTTTGTATAAATCTGCTGGAACAGGGGACACAGGCTCAAAACTGGGACTGTCCCGGGGAAACAGGGACGTCTGGACACAATAATTTGACGTCTTTATGTTCAAACACCATAAATATCTGGTCGTCCTTCAGTCGCTCCAGTTTGATCAGGATCTAAAACAGAAGACGTGCAGTAAAAGTTTAAACCAGGACCAGTTCCGACGTCACTTCAGGAGTCGAGCGTCACACGTTTCTACTGGACACTTTGAAATGTGTCGCCTACAAAATAAAAGACCAAATATTTCAAATTATTTTCTTCATTATTTGTGTCCAAAACCAAAATGAAAAAAAAAAAAAAAAAAAACAGATAAAGATTTGTTTTTTTTCTGTTTTTGATTTTGTGTTTAAATGAAAAATGGAAAAAATGGATAAAGGACTAAAACAGGACTAAAACAGGACTGAACCAGGACTAAACCAGGACTAAACTGTTTTCAATCCTGATCTTGTCCCAGTCCCAGTCTGGTCTCAGTCCCAGTCTCAATCATGGTCTGGTCCTGGTCTGTTCCCGGTCTCAGTCCCGGTCTGGTCTCAGTCCCGGTCTGGTCTCAGTCCTGGTTCTATTACCAGTCTCAATCCTGGTCTTAGTCCCAGTCTGGTCCCGGACCTGGTTTAGTCCTGGTTCAGTTCAGCATCGCAGTTTAAGTCACGTAAACGGGAAACGGTCGTTATCCTTTTTTTTCCCATTTTTCATTTAAACACAAAATCAAAAAAATGAGTCATTATCTGTTTTTTCTTCATTTTGGTTTTGGAGACAAATAATGAAGAAAACTGTTGTTTTTTTTTCGTTTTCTTATTTTTGTTTTTATTTTGAAAAATAAAAGACACACAGAGAGCAGGAGCCTCTGGAACTTCTACAGGAGAGTCACTGTTTCTGAAACAAACCCACAAACTTCTGAGCCACAAATGTTGAACCTTCTCCTTATTTGTTTGGGATCGACTCCACAAACTCGTCACGTTCATCTGACGCTTTAAAGTCTTTTCACCTGACGACAATCACGTCTTTGGCCTGAATAAACTTGTGTTCTACTGACTGTAGTGGACCAAACAGAAAGGCAAAGACAAGGTATAAATAAGTAAAAATTTAATAAAGTCAAAAAAAGATGTAAAACTCAAGTTAATTCATCTGATATAAAAATGTATTGAACAGATACATATTACTCTAGTTTTATCAAACTGTTGACCTTTTTTCTGTACCATTTTTGGTTCTAAAGTTCCATCCGTTTTAAACAGACCATGTATGAAACATGGAACAAAAATTATTTCCCAAATTTCAAAGACCTGAAAATCATGTAAATAAATGTTTGTATTTCATCATATCTTGTGTTATTCCATCTTTGAACTGTTGATGAAGGGACATGATTTAAAAAAAAAGACTTTATTTAAAATGATAAAAATGTTCTTGGAAGGACTGACATATTTTATAGAAATAGTTTCTTTCATTTTGAAGTAATATTAAAGTATTCAGAAGAAAAAAGTGACAAATGATGATTAAAATCCTGCACCTTCTACTTGTTTGTAACAATTTTCCCTCCGTTACTTTTCCCTCCGTTACCATGAACCTTTCTTAATAAAAAATCTCATGAGTCAAAAAAGTCAGAGGTTTTTCAACCTAATCTTGTACCATATGGTAGAAAACTATATGAAGCAAATATTCAAACCAGTTTGTTAAGGATATGGAAGTGAGAACCAAGAGTTATCACTGTTTGGATTTATTGACCAAAAAGTGCTGCATATTTCATTCCCTCCTGTTACCGACATGAGTTTTTTAAATTTTTTTGTCAACAACTTGAAAGAATCTCACAGGTTTAACTTGACCCTGTTGGAGTGTAACTCTTTCCTACATTCTGACACTTTACTTATTTCAATAGTTCCTCTAGTTTCTGAATAAGAGACATTTGAATGTCAAAAATCTGACCGTTTCCCTCCGTTAACACTTGACCGGACCCATTAGTAAAAAATAACTAAACAGGGCTCCTCCATTTGTTGATTCACAGATTGTCTCTCCCGAAGGTCCTCCGTCTGGCACTTTAACAAACAAAAAGAACAAGTGTAAGTAAATAATTCAGACTTATAC